TCTCCTGCGCCGTCGTTACTTAAGCAACGGGGTAAACAGCTGCTGGCTTGATGACGCAAACGAACCGCGGTTCCAAATAAAATAATATGAACGCAGTCCAATGGGGGCAGGGGGAGAGGGGAGCAATCGAACTCAGGTTCGGACCAGGCAAGCGAACCAACTGTGAAAGCACCCTTAGTCTAAGTTAAAATCAGTTAAGTCTGATTTGATGAACTGGTTCACCAAATGCTAATTAAGCAGTGAGTTGCATCATTAGAAACACAGCCCTGTATGACTTTCTTCAGTGGAACGGAACTAGGGCTGTGCGATTTGGGGGAAAATATCAAATTGCGATTTTTTTGACAGATATTGCGATTGCGATTTGCGATTTTAAATTTGCAAAGTCAAGCTTCAACTCAATATTGTCAATAATGTGCAGCACAGTATGGTTATCATTACCCTGCTGAAAAAAACAATAGAAACTATCACAGAAATTCTTATAGTTTCCATTAAACCAATACAAAATTCCTTTTTGTTTTGGGCATTATTCCAATAGGAATTACTGTTGTTCCATTGGTTGCCATCTGCCAGATTACATCCCACCAATAGAATCCATCAAATAGACACCACTATAGTTTACATTAAAACCAATACAATTCCCATTATAACCCTGAAACCCATTACATTTGTTATTGTGTTTTGGGAGGGGTACTATTGTTTTTTTTTTCAGCAGGCAAGATTATAATGGTATAACTACTTTTACAGAATTAACTTAATTACTGAATTTCACAGAAAATATTTGTTTATTTTTTATAAATAAAGAACTGTATTTCGTAAGTCAATTATTAAAGTATTACATATGTTACATAGGCTGATTTATTCATTTTAAGTATTTGGTGTTGGGTTAAAAAGTTAATTTAAAAATGTAACCAAAATTTAACCCAACAGTTGGGTTAGTCCATATTTGACCCAACATTGGGTTGAAACAACCCAGCATTTTTTAGAGTGTATATATAAATGATTTTTGCAAATGCAATGAAAATCTAAAGGGGTCTAGTGTTGTTTTGGACCCCATTGGCTTCCATTGTATGCACTAAAAACCACTGCAACCCTTCCAAATATCTTACTTTGTGATCCACAGAAAGAAGAAGGTCATACAGTTTTGCAATGGCTTGAGAGTGAGTACAAGATGGATAATTTAATTTTTGAGTGAACTATCCCTTTAATCCCATATTGCTTCAGCACACGAATACGGAGAATGTGAAACATTCCAAGCACTTGTGAGTCTAAGATGAATGCAGCTGGAGCCACAAGGCCATTTGTCCTGTGAACCACCACTCATCAGTCTTTTCTCAGGTTTGCCATCGTCCCGAATGCAAACGCAAAGAGGAAGAACTCCAACAGGCCATTTTCTTCTTGGAGCAAATATCATTTTCAGCGACACCGCTAGTATTGTTCATTTATTAGCTGCCAGCAGCTGTGTGTACAGTGGCCAAAGCTTGGGAGCTGTCCAGTGCTGAAAACAGAGGATATACCAGGAAACAAAAAGAGAGAGAGAAGCTTGTATTGGAGGACCGAGTGCCTGAAGTAGCACTGTGCAAATTGCTGGCATAATTATCAGGCTTCTTTTCCTTCTGGACCTCTCCCACAGGGTAAGCGATAAAACATTTTCTAAATGAATCTTTAAACCGCAAGGTTGTGTGTTTTTGTCTTGAGCAGACCTGCGAGCCAAATGGAATCTTTTCAAGACAGAAAAAGAATTAGGGCTGAACAGAAATTAAAATTAATCTTTTCTTCTCCCTCTACGAAGTTAAACTCTTACAGTCCCATTTCGAAAACCAGCAAAACACAGACCAGGTGTCATGATTCATTTGTGGTGTTTAAGGCGGCAAATGCCTGTTCTGAATAATGTATTCCAAGTCTGGGCACCGATAAATATTCAGACTTTGGCAGATTGGCGGGTGACACATGTAGTAGAGACAGCTGTTGCCAACTGCTTCCTCTGGCTCATGGGATTAGACACAACTACTCTTTCTTGTCAGCTGTCAATCAAGACTGCGCACACAAGGTAAGACACCAACCTGGATGACTGTGGAGATAAATTAAGACTTATATTGGCATTTATTCACCACACAATCACAAACAGCCCATTAACTTTGCATAATTAAACAGCCTTTGTCACAAATCAGCACTTGGCTTACGCAGGAACACAAAACTAGCAAAAAGTTTCCTTGAATTTGCATCTACCAAAAATGTATAGAGTAATTTTAGTAGACCTGGACGACTGTGGACATAAATGAAGACATTTACTGGCATCTATTCACCCCCAACACAAACAGACCATCAACTTTGCATAATTAAACACGGCCTTCATCACAAATCAGCAGTCGGCTTATGCAGGAACTCAAAACTAGCACAATGTTTCCCTAAATTGCATCTACCAAAAATTTCCAGACTAATTTTAGTAGACTTGGTTCATTAAACACGGCGTATGTTAATTTACGACAAGGACATTATCTCCTGGAATTCGAAGGCATTTAGCTTTCTGGATGCTATTCAAGTACAATTTCAATTCCACCTGTCAGCACAACCCCCCTCTCATACGATTGTTGGGACTAAACTACGCAGTCGAGCGGAAACGCGTATTATTAAAATGTGAGAATCAATCAAGTGCCCTCTACAAGTCACCCAACGCCAAAATGGTTGCGCTCAGAGGCAATTTCCACTTTTTTCTTCAAGAGACAACATGCTCAAAGGTGCTCCTCTGGCATTTACGATTATACAGGGAGAAGAGGGTGCTCAGATAAAGAGCAGAATGGATGCCCCAAGGAGATTTACCGGGGTTCTGGAGCCAACTTGAAAGGCTGCTTGGTTTTGCAAGACTGAGCTGCTCCGCTGGGACTCAGGGTTAGAAAGAAAGGTCTTTGAACCTGGAGGCGCCGTATCAGAGCACTCACCCAGATATAGATGCAAAGCAGCACAGGGTTGCTTGAGGGTGACAGGGTATGAGTTTAGCAACACAGCCTCAGCGGACACCCATATGTTTATTTGGTCAATTAAGATCAGGGATGGGCTAACATGCTGGCCAATACGGTAAACTAATGGTTATGTTATGGTAATAACCAATAAATGGGCAATATTATTTTGTCCAAAATAAAAAATTTAAATAAAAATGAATAAAAATGTAATTAAATAACTGTAAAAACAAAAATCAATCATTTTAAAAGCTGCAAGTTAATTTAGGCATCCATAATAATGGATATTATGAAAAAGGTTATTCATTTTGAGATTTGCTAAAAACTGCGTTTAACAATGTTCAAATATGAAAGATATGGCTGATAACCAATCAATGGCTGATATTAAAATTCTATATAAAAAAATTAATTAAAAAAATTAAAATAAATGTAAATACATTTTAAATAACACTAAAAATTAAATCTATTATTTTTTAAAGTTATATTTAAGTTAATTTAGGCGTCCATTATAATGTACAGTACAATTTAAAAAAACTTTTTTTTTTCTTCAAAAGTTGTAAATAAAACATTAGTGGAGTACATTTCACAATACCATTTTAAAACAATACAATCTTTCTACTTCTGAATTTCATGTTTAATTCAATATATTGCTGTTTGTTTGTTGTTTATTCGTGAAATTTACTAGCAATTTAGAGTGAAAATTGTTTCTTTTTTTTGGTCAGTATATGAAAAATGGATATTCAGATTTGCTATTAAAAATCTAATATACCAGCTTATACAACTAAAGCCAAACAAAAGCAATTGCTGGAGGTTGCCGAAATGCTGTGTGTTGCTTCCTAATATGCCGCAATATCTGACAGTATGCACTCTCATTGGTAGTCACTGCATGGCGCATTTGCATAAAGTTGGACTCCAACTTTGTTGCATCGCTTGTGTCGCCGGAACTCTCAAAAAAAATGCGGTGCAAAATTGTTCCCAGTATAGGATATACTCCAAAAAAGGTATAATTTCAGAGGAGAGGAGAGGAGAGGAGAGGAGAGAAGAGGGCAACGTTACAAACCTTGCCCCAAGAGAAGAGAAGAGAAGAGGGCAACGTTACAAACCTTGCCCCACAGTAACCAATTTGCTGCAAACAGCTGCCTGAAATTTTCCCAGGGCACCTAGAGCCACAACTCGCACCACTTTCTATTTCTGATGCTCTTTGACAAATAACACACATCTTCACATTCACAAGTCACTCTCTTGTACTTTTCTCTTGTCAGCATCAAGACTTGTAGACTGATGCAAGAAGCACCTGGAGTGCTCCGTCAGGTAGAGACTCAGGGGTTCAGACCGAACAGAGACAACAGAGTCAGTCACGACAGAATGCCAAGAGAAATTCGGCTCAGTCTTCCTCTCCCACCAGCTACACGCTGTCGTCGAGGCAGGCACAAGACTGGCAGCGCTCAGCACTTGTCAACTTTTAACAGCATCCAGCTGACACTCTGCTAAGGAGAAAAACAATGCGGGGTCCCTTTCGATCCCAAAATTCTCGCTCACTATTTCTGATGGGATTTCTTTCAACCACTTCATATCAAGGCATTACTGCAAATGACAGCTTGCAGGTGGGGGGTTATATCAAGGCAAAGAAAATGACTCACTTGAGTGGATCTGGGGAAAACCGGACAAGAACATTGCATTTGATTGCATTTGAACCCACAAGTACTTTGCAAATCACTTAATATTTCAGAGGATACGTGATTAATAGGTCTGAGAACAGCACAAATATCTGATTTTAGAAATTAGATAGCAATCTACTCTTCATATATTTAACATTTCACCATGATGTCATTCAAAACATGGTTTATAAATAGTCTTCTGCTCCGAACAGCCGTTCAATATCGTTGTGCTCCTGGTTTTGTCCCCTTGACTGTCCTCACTGGTACTGCGCTTGGCAAGGGGGCTGTATATAGCCTGTCCTGAACACAAAACATCCTACACCACGTTATACATTAATAATGAAGCGAGACGCAATCAGTTAAGCACAAAAACATCGCTTGTTCTCACCTTCTCCGAAGTAAAGCGCGTCGTCGCCTCAGAAAGTCCACAGGAATGCCGCGTCGCCTCAGATACAGCAGAGTAGATGATAACAGCCGCTGAGGTTAACCATTCAATTCTGTTCAGCCTCAGAAACGTGTTAAAACGAACTCCTTACTTCGTTAAAATCGTTCAAAAAGCACGGTATTTCTCCTCAGCCCGGGTCCAGAGAGGAGCTCGAAACGGCGCGCACTTCGCCGGTCGCGAGGAGAGACACTGAACAAAAGCGCGTGCGGAGGCTCACAGCGGTTCCCCCCTCACCGAATGAACGGAGCAGATGCTTACGCAAGAGAGTGCGTTAGACGGTGTATAGCCAATTCTCTATGGACTTCGGTGGGGGGATGGACAATATTTTGCACAATATTTCAGCGATTCCGTCCTTTGTTTGGTCATTTGCTTGGCCAGATTTATTGCGGTGCACAGGATGCGAATTGTGGAGAATTTGGGGGTTCATCTGACTCCTAGTTATTTGAATCCACCAAAACGAAGTTACAACAGTCCCTTACGAAAATTAGCCATGGTTTTACAACCAAAAAAGCATACCCTTATACGAAAATTAACCATTTACTACAAATTAAACCAAAAAACCATGGTAACTATAATTAAACCATGGTTTTGCTACACTAACCATAGTTTAACCATGGTATTTGTAGTAAAACTGTGGTTATACAAATGGTTACTACAGTTTTACTACAATAAAACCATGGTTAATTTTCGTAAGGGTATAGCTAATATAGTTAATAGTTAAAAACAAAAACATAGTAATAATATAGTTAAACCATGGTAACCTTAAATTAACCATGGTTTTGCTACACTAACCACAGTTTGCAGTAAAATTATGGTTGTACAAATGGTAATCAATTCTCCCATTAAAAAAAGTATGTGGGTTGTAAAAGTATGTAGCCTTTACATACTGTATGCATATATATGTGCATATTTAAACAGTGTTTCAAGCCACCAAGTACCACAAAATATATATAAATTAATAAAATTATTACAAGTAGTTAGAATGCGCTGAATAGAAGCTATAGCAAACAGAAGTCACGTTGCCTGGTGGTGACCATAGCAACGTTCCTAGCATTTCTGTACGGATTAGTATGTGAAAATACGTCGACAAAACACACTTTTTATTCTTAATTTTTAAACTTTAGTGTTCATCAACATTGTTTTTAATGACCAAGTGCCACAAAAGTTAGATTACGACAAAATCAGAATGTGCCAAATAGACATTAGCGAACAAACAATTTGAGGTAACCAAAGCAGCTATTCACAATTTATATAACATTAAATGCATTGACAAAAAAGTACTCTATTTTTATTTATCTTCTAATTGTTAGTGTTTATTACAAATAGGCTACGATATATTCCAGGTCTTATTGTTTTATCGTAATGGAATCAAACATTTAATGATTGTTTTTGACTGAAAGAACCTTTAAAATCCATGGAACCTTTCCAATGCACAAAAGGTTCTTTATAGTGGAAAAAGGTTCTTCAGATTATTAAACCAAGAAAACTGTTTCTTTCAAGAACTGTTTACCGAAAGGTTCTTTAAGGAACCCAAAACGGTTCTTTTAAGGCATTGCTATGAAACCCCCATTTGGGAACCCTTATTTTTAAGACCAAAAAGGTCCCAGTTTTGTCAGATTTAACAACCAAAATTGTTTAAATTCACCTAAAATGCTTATTTTATACTTCGGGTTATATACACAAGTTAATTTTAATCATTTATTAACAACTTTGTTCATTGTGCTTTTGTATATGTATATTTATTGCATCGGCCAGATTATCTTCCCATTGTCCATTATTTGACAAATGTCCACACGAATACCCATTGTCTTCGTAAGCCAACCCATCTACCAATTCTTCTGTTTGCAGATGAATAAATCATCTCAGCATCCCAAAGAGCCTTTAAAAAAAGCTCTGGAGAACCTGACCTGCCCCCTGTTTTATGACAGAATAATGATATCCCTCGAGATGCTGCAAATCTGTTCCTAGGGGCCACGCTGTGGTCCACTGACACACATTTCACCCGACCTATAGAAGCCCACTCACTTAACATTACCCCCAGTTCAGATGTTCATCACATTCATCACCGTCATCCGATTACAGATGTTACTGTGTAAACAAATCACAACAAACCGCAAAGCCTCTTCTCAGTGTTCCTGTTGTGATGCCTCGTCTTATAATGAACATAACAGCTGAGGGAAAAAAATGTGAGGGCTTTCGCTTTGAAGCCCTCAAATGTTGCAGCTGATCATTAGCGTACATTAGGGACACAATAACCATTATACTTCATTGAAAAGAGATTATTTCTTATACAGGATGTTTGAATAAATGCCAATCATAAGCTAAATATAATCTTGGCAGCAGGGCTCTTTGAAGGGAAATGGTAGGAATTTAAAACACTAGGCTATTATTGTTTTATAGCAAACCGAAAAAAGCATGAACATGAGAAATACGATTTCTCTGACTAACCGCATGAGGAGAAAATACCCTGGTGACATATATATAACAGATAGTCCCCAAAAAAATATATGCCCCATTGTTCCAGACTCCCTCAAAACGGTATTGTCAAGGGACGCTGGCCAAGGCGTAATACATACTGCCACACAAATCCATTATTTAAACAGCTGACAATGTAACGGTCAATGAACAAAGGACTCCTCGCAGTGGCCCTCAAAAAGAACAACACAATATGGATGATTTTCAATGGGTCGCCAGCTGACTGTTTTAATATTATTTCTTTTTTACCAACACTTTCCTCTCCATCATTGCTGCAAGTCTGATCTCAGAGAGTCAACAAAAACATCTCTGAGGAACATAGTACTTTGTTAAAAGGCGGCGAACAAGATGTCACCATTCAAAAATAGGCACAGACCTGTCATTGCCTTCATCTGGGGAATTAGATGCATATAATAATACTATGCTTGGAGAAAATGATGTTGAAATACAACGTGTTAAAATGTGCTCAGATTACTTACTTTGATTCATTTCATGGATGCTTTTATCCAGTGCAACTTATGAATATTAATATACAAAGCGAGCCAAATTTTCTTTAAATATAGTGAATATTTCAAATTTGCACTATTTGGTCTTACAGTATCATCAAAACGAGGGTATGGACCTCTAAAACCTGGTTTTCAATTGGGGGTCCGTGGACCCCTGGGGGTCTATGAAACTGCAGGGGGTCTATGGAACAGATATATGAAACATATGAACATTTCTTGAAAAATGTCCATATATATTTTTGGCTGGTTCTCTTGCTTCGTCAGTTGATTCACTTGACTCTATACAGCATAAAAGCTTTATAAATGAATCCAAAACACAGAAAAGTCAACAGTAGGTTACCGTAAAGCAAGTTGTTATACATTTTTCAATCAAATAAAAGAGAAAAAAAAGAAAATAATAAAAAAATATAATTTAAAAAATACAATACAATAAAATAAAGATTTAAAACTAAATATAGTAATACAATTTAAAATTATAATAAAATATAAAATACAATTCAAAATATGATAATGTGAAATTGAAAATAAAGTATAAAATTAAAATATAAGATAAAAAAAAATTCTAATAAAATAGATGTAAAACAGGCATTTTTATAAAATGCTTTTTATAAGAGTAAGATTATAATATAAAACAAATTAAAAATAATAAAATAAAATGAAATAAAATAAAACACAAAATAACAAAAAAATAACAGCTAATATAAAGTAAACATTAATAACAAATAACATAAAATAAAGAAAACAAAATATAAAAATAAAATACAAAAAACAAATTTTTTTAAAAGCATTTTTATATTAGGGTAGCCCTGAGATTGCTAGTAGTCTGGATTTGGGGTCCCTGGATTTATTAAAAAAAATAATAATAAAAAGTTCACAAGCCCCTCATTTACAAAATTGTGCTTGAATACTTGTCTGCTGAGTTTGTAGAGACTTTGAACTGTAGACATTCCCGAGTGATTGTAAATCCATTAAAGGCAGAGTAAGTGATTTCTGGTAGCCAATGTTGATATTTGAAATCACCAAAACAAACACGCCCCTACCCCAAAAGGGTCTTGCCCCTATTTTGATAGCTCCGCCCCACATATACGTACGCAACCCAGGCAACGATTAGTTCTGTGAATCAAAGCAAAACCAATGTTACACCGTGTCTACGGACGTCAACGGCGCGGCGCAACAAATCCCCGACAGAAAACTGCTGCCAGGTTCTATTTATGACGTGCTGACACAAATTTCAAATGGTTTTCAACGGTCGTTTGATCGCGTCCAGTGTAGGCAGACTTTAGCTGTTGTAGACACGGTGAGTTTTCTAAAGTGTTTTTGAAAAATCACTTACTCTGCCTTTAATTTCCCCTCTAATCCATTTATCCACTGTCGACAGTGTCAGGAAAGAGGAAATCTACAGTTCCACAGCCTTACGTTTCTCTAAAGCCACTACACAGCAAAATCCCCAGAGTTAAATCAACTCTGCTCAGAGTACATATTGTCCCAATCTACAGAGTGTTAAAGTAACACTGAAGCAGAGTTACCACTGTTGAGGATTATGTGATATGTTTTCATGTCTAAAAGCCTGAGCTGTAGTTGTTCATCTTCAACATTGTTAACAGCGGGTTTTCTTTACCAATGCTCACTCATCAATTAATTAATTGCTTAATTATCCCATTAACTTTAACTCGGCTTCAGTGTTACTTTAACACTCTGTAACACTCTGCGTTGACTTGACTCTGGCATGGGGCCAGGCCTACCGCACAGCTCTTTGACCCAGAAACCACTGACATAAGCACTTAACGGTGGTCGCCCATCTCGTCTTGGTCACTTGCCATCGGCTCGAGGGGGAGGGTTGGGGGAACAAAGCTTGGTAATGATGCCGCGTTGGCTGCCTGGTTAAAGACCTTTATGGGAGCCCCGGAGAAGCCATGGAGCGTGGAGAAAAGAAGAGTGTCAGCACAAGATCCTAATGAGAATGAAATGAAGCTGCTTGGATGGGGCCCAGCTGATCCATAATTGATGAGGGTGGAATGCGGAGACTCGTCGGGTGTAAATGATAAACACACTACAGCGGTGAGAAATTACGGCTTGCCTTTGGCTTGCATTTTGGATGATGTGGCTATTGGATTTTTAATTGCATACCTATATAGACCACTTGTGATTGGGCTCTATTGT